GAGGCTACCCGGGAAGGGTAGAAGGGGTGGGGAGTTACTTAGTAGGTGTAGAGTTTTTCTTTAAGGTAAAAAAGGACTTGGACCCACTAGTGATAGCTGTACATTGAGATTATAATCAATGCCACTGAACGCTGCACTTAAAAATAGTTACAATGGCAAACATTATGTTATATTTTATCAGAATCCTAAAAGTCTAAAACAGCAACCAGAATTGTGTCCAAACTCTGCCCTGTGCCAAGTGATCTTAGCTGGGTCTCTGAACCTTTGAGCCTGGGCCTCAGGGCTGTGGAGATAAGCATGCCAAAGGTGTGGCCCCAGCTGGAGCTCAAGTACGATGAGGTGCCTGAGAGAGGAAGGCCCCTTGTAGGCGGTACAGTTCTGTACTCAGACGCCAGGATTACTCTCATTTTAGGAGTTCACCTGGCTACTATGTGTGAGCGCCTAATTCACACTTACAAAGCTCTCAGCATGGTCTGCAAACAGTAGCGGCCCCTTACTCACGTGGCCTGCAGCCAGGCCTGTAGGTTAGCTCCATGTGTGTCCATTCTGCACACTTTCACTGCTGAGGCGGTGCCATTGTCAGATTTTGAGCCAGAGAGCTTGTTTGTAGTTACACCTGTTCCGCAGAAGAGGAGCAACCTGGAATGACACCATCAGTGACTGCTAGGCCCACAGCCGTGTCCTGCAAAGCAAAGGCATGTGTGTGCCCAGAGGCAGGGCCTAGCTTTCAGGGATGTCTCCCAGGGGACAGGCTCCCGAGTATGTGATGCGCCTTGTGTTGTCCCTAAGTCCTCACCCACCACCCTTCTTCCAGTGGGGACTCCTCCTCTCCCACATGAGGACTGGGGCCGCCAGGGGGTTGAGTTTAGAGTCCTGAGGTTTCTCCAGGATGGCAAAACAGATCACAGGTCCTAAGCAGGCAGCAGTATTCTCTTGCTGAACGCAAGGAATTTCACATGCAACAGCATCAGACAAGGCTGCTCAGGGACTATGACAGGGCAAGACAAACAGAGCCTATCAGCAGTCATGACCGACCATGAGCAAAACATGACAGCATCCAAATTTCTGGTTCCGTCCTTGTCCATCCTTCTGGCCTTGCTCTGTCCTTCCGGCCTTCCAGAGAATTACTGAGATAACAACAGACTGACCTTCACTTCACGGCAGCAGAAAAACCCTCCATTTCGACCTTGCTCCAAATCATCTACAGTGAGCCTAGGTCTTGTGAGAAGTCCTTGCTCACCCCATCCTAAAGATATGCACCACTGCACTCCTCTGCATGAAGAGCCAACCCAGTTTATTAGGATGTGGATGTTCCCACTGGTCTGTGACAGCCGGAGAAGCAGCTGTCACCTCCCAACTGCAGACACCTGGGCTTTCAGAAAACAGGGTACTTTAGACTTCAGGTTGACTTTGAGTTTTTACTACCACATGGTACCCTTGATTTTGTGGTCCTCTAAAGATACTAACATATCAGAATCATAGATCAGCTTGAAGCTCTGATGTGTTTGTTGGCTCCTGGTGAGAAGGGAATCTTGTATTTGCACACCCATGTCTTCATCTTCCATGGTTCTAGGCCTCTCACTTGGACTGTGGGATCCTAGCACCCTAGACATTGAGGCACTCAGGGTGAGGGTGGGGCACACTCAGACATTCTGGTGCAGGAGGAACACAGTGGTTCCCTAGGGCCCTGCCACTGTCCAGGAGTAGCAGGGCTCTTTTCACTTGCAGAACCCAGGAAGCCTTTGTGATTGAGCTGGGCTTAGAATATGACTCCCACAGAGGATAAAGAAGACCCAAAGGTTTTTCAAGGAAGTGAGCGAAGCTTCAGAGATGGGAAAAGCCTGCCAGGTTGGCGTGCACGCCACAAAGTACTGGGAAGAGTAGAAGTAGGTGGGGCTGGTGGGAAGGGTGGAGCAGTACTGGAAGGACCTTGAGTGCCATCCTGAGGTGCACACACAGTCCTCCAACCATAGGGATTTTGGGGGGCTGTTTTAGGCAGGAGACTGAAGTGAGCAAATCTATGTCAGAAAGATCGTTCTATCACAGGCAAGAAGAAAGATAGTTTCCAAACATGACTCTTGGAGCTGAAGTGTGAGTGTGGGTTTATGGTCTATTAGCTCTGCTGCACTATGAAAACTAATGGTCCTTGTGTGCCCAGATTCAGAGCTTTGACCTTGCACTGTGGGTGACTGAGACCCTTTAAGTGTTTGAACAGAGGAAGGCGTGGACACATCTACCAAAAGAAACCAAGACCACCCCTCCCCATACCAGCATAGCATGATATGTGCATGTGTGATTCCATGTCGGCATTTTGGAATATTGAAAGTTGCTTGGCAGCTATATCATGACCTTGCCAGAAAGCCAGGTTGGAAATTTCTAGATCAAATGATTTTTTAGCTCCCTTCTCCCTCTGACAACCCCAGATCTATAACAAGGAAAGGGAAGCTACTGCCAAAGCATATAATGCATCATGATGTCAGACTTGGAGATTATCTGCTGCTTGGGGTTTTCCACACCACCGCTCCCCTTCATTAGTGGGATAATTGAGAGTTGACTGCAGTTGTTACTGCTGTTGTGATGGGTATTTGAAGCTAAATTCCGGCAAGGAGATGTGTGAATACTTATCTCAGCTGCAGAAAGTTAATGCAGTGTGGCATTAATTACCCTGCCCGAGCCTGCTGTCGTCTTCTGTTTTAGATGTCATTCTCAGTTGGATAAATTAGCTCCCAAAATTAGAATACAGCAAATCATAAGGTGAGATCAAGGCAGCCTGACTTCACAGGGCATCTAAAAAGAAGAATGGTTCCAGAATGAACGTCTACCCAGAAAACCTTCTGATCCATCTCAGAAGTCCTGCGTAGGCAAAAGGAAATGCTTCGTCCATTTGCTATTCATGAGCATTCTCTGCTCCACCACGGTTGATCCACCCAACCCTGGACACACACACAACAGATTTCATGTTTAACCTTACAACAGTTATTGGAAACAGGTCAAGATATTGGCAGGAAATAGATGAGGTATTTAATAAATCATCTCTCTGTAAATTTTCATCAATTTGATTTTGAAAGAATAAAGCCAAATTGAAGTATGTTTAAAACAGAGAGATCAGAACAGCAAGGAAGCCAGAAACCATGCCATAGTCACCCACCAGTTCAGCGTACCTTCATTGAGGACCTACTGTGCTTGATCCCATGTGTCCAGTGGCAGAAGGGTGGGTGGGAACTTCGCACAAGGACGTGAAACATGGGCTTCCATCCTTCCTATCCCCAGAAGGGCAGCAGGCCGCACTATTCCTTCCAATTCTAAAGACAGCATGAAGCCTGCAGATGAAAGGTTTGAGGGATGGACTGGCCTGTAACACATTACAGAGTCGGGTCTCCAAGCAGGGAGGGTACCTTCCCCTGGGAGGAATGCTCTCAGACAGAGTCCTAGAGGAGGACAGCCTGGATCTGACATAGGAGCTGTAGCTTCTACTCTTGGCATGGTGGCTGACCACTTGTATGGCTCCAGGGAGACCGAAGCCCTCTGTGCTGGGCTGACAATCCCTACTTCAACAGTGGCATGCTGGAACACTTTTGTAGGCCACTTGCAATCAGCGCAGAACAAGCAGGACAGTGCATCCCACACCAGAGGTAGCACAGTGACCTTGATACTGTACAATCTCTCTAGGCTTCTGTTTTTACTGTAAAATAGGAAGGAAAGGATAAAAAGCTGCTCCGAGGACTGTTAGGCAGAAAAATAGGACAAAATGTACTTTACAAGCCCTCAAGCATTGTACAGGTAGAAGGGCTCATGTCCCCCACCCCAAAGCTATTGTAATAAACTATTAAAACCTCCAGAGCCTATTTTCAGTTTTCATATTCTAAATTATACTAGCACCATGAATATGGGCAAATCACTTTCTCACTTGCAAATGATATAAAGCACCTGCCTTCCATGGTTGTACTGATGAGTTAATATAATACCTAGCAGGGCACTGGACACAGTAGCAACTCACAGATTACCGATTCATTTGGGAAATTCCAAAAAATAAATACATAAAAGGGGCCTGGCACACATGGCAGGAGGCAAGCTAACAGGAAAGTTTGCAAAGTTAAGATGTCACTCACCGTGCCCACTTAATTCTGACACAAAGAGATGGCACCAACGTCAACTATACCATAATGGCCTGTGCCTGCCTAAGAGAGGTGATGGGTCTGATCTGCATGGCCAGTGCATGCTGGACCATCTCATCATGAACTAAAGGTCAGTAAGACTTAAACAAGGCCAAATACCAACTCCTGTTGCTGTAGTTGGTTTGCAGGGTTGCTGGGCTATGCTGATTAGATCGCCTGTGTGTGTCCCAGTGCGATCACATGCATGAAGGCAGAGGACTGGCCAAACCAAGACTAGATGAATGGAAACACATCCCAGGGCTTTCAGTTCAGAGTAAAATGTTCTGATTGTCTGTGCTGCTTGGCAGCTGCCCAGGTATCACTGTTCCTGAGGACAGAGTGCAGTGTGAAATACCATGTGAGCGATCTCCACAAAGACATTTGTTACACTGTGTTGGGAAAATGTGCACTGCAGTAGTTACCATTTTCTGAAGTCCTGTTACTACCAAGCACTGAGCGAGATGCTTTTCACAGATTATCTCTAATTAGTTCAAGAATCCTTTAGGATAAACTATTATTTCCATTTCATGGTTGAAGAAACTGAGACTCACACAGGGTGTCACATACACCACACAACATATCCAGCTCTCTCTGCTGTACCATGCTATTTCTCTAATGCAGCCTCAGCTTGAAAACCAAGGCTAGAACTGGATGAGTAGATATTTTTTGGCGATAAAAGATTTTGCCAAATGCATGATCAAATTATCCAATACTAAGCCAAGGTCATCCATCATCCACTGCTACCTTTCTGTTGTTAATCTCAAACCCCCTTCCTGAAGCTGCCTCAGAACACCCCTTCCTCCCCGCTGGAAAAGGGCTGGCCTCACTTTGTCTCTTTTTCTACAGGAGCCAGAGCCTCTCTATGCGTAGATCGGCAGACCTAAGAAATAGCATTGATGCAAGCTGACGGGGGTGTATCAAGACTGGCATGGAAATCAGCATCACAACAGGCTCTCTTGTATTCTTCCACTTCATCTCATTCCACAGAGAAATTCACAATTGCCCAATGGAACTTACTGAGAAGAGGAAACAACATTTCTGGCAACCAGTGGCAGATATATATGGCAGCACATAAAATGGAAGAAAGGAAAGAAAAAAAGAAAGAAAGGAAGAAAGAAAGAAAGAAAGAAAGAAAGAAAGAAAGAAAGAAAGAAAGAAAAAGAGATAAAGACCCACAAAAGTGTTTTAAAAGCCACACCCAACATTAAATCACAAATCAAGCAAATGCTTACCCAGCAGATACTCTAAGCTTTCCTAGCTGGGTTTAAAGTGACCCAGAATATGAAATCTTAATTCTGCTTTGTTTTCTCCACTGATTGGCCACTAGAGAGACAGCAGGTTTGGAGTGACAGGCAAGGCATCTGAGAATTACAGCAAGCTGACTTTTAGGCAAAGCAAGGGTCCTCTGGGACCGCAGTGCCATCCTCCGTGTGCCTTTCGGCAGGGAAGATGCTTGCTCGTGGCTCCATAGGGCATGATCTGCCATTTCACTCTTTTCCTTTCTTGTCATGTTTGAAAGTTAATGGGTGTACAAATTTTGTCTTGCTTTTGACTTTTTAAATTTTTTTAGATTTGGGTGAAGAAATCTAACTGGGGGGGAAGAAAAAAACCTCTTACAAAGTGAATTAACTTGAAATCACAAGACAAATAAGTGGTTGATTATTCCTTATGATCAAGAATGTTGCCAAAACAACCCTGTAGTTACTCTACACCCTGATGAAGAAAGACAGTTTTCGGGTCAAATCTTCATTCTGTGAGTCGCAAAGGACATCATATCCCATTGATGAGAAAGATGAAAACTGCATCTACTTTCCTAAGAAGCTCTAAACTCTGAGTACAATAAAATAATATTTTTATTTTTTCCGATACTTTGCTGCTGTGATACTATGCAGACAAGTGTCTCCTCCACGTGCCATTTTCAAAGAAAAGTCATTTGCCAAATAATTCTGGTACAATTCTAGTAATGTGGTTTTGGATCTCAAAAACCAGCTTTCTGAGAGAACAATGATAACAGAAACATTCATCGTAACACACTGAATCTGTGGTCAGAACGGTCCATCTCTCTTTTTGTACATCAGAAAATCCGAATGGGATTCTTATTTTATAACTTAAAAAAAACCTTACCATTAAACTCTTTAAATATTTAAGGGAAATGGCTTTAAGGAGTTCTAATGAAAAAAAAATTGTCAGTTTCTTTTGTAAATATAAATGTTAATGAAAATGCTTTTTAATAATGCCATTACACTGTAGCGAAGGTAGCAGGTTGAGTGCAAGGTGTGAAACACTTAGTGAATGGGTTCGCTTCCCAGATACTACTCTGGAGCAAAAGGAGGAGGCTGGAGTTCAGGGGCAGCTGGCAGGAGCAGCTGACCAATCAGCAGCCAGAGAACCACCGGAAGGGGCTTAGGACTCCCTCATCCAACCCTTCTGAGCATCTTGTGAGCAGAAGGCGAAAGGCAGTTTGATTCCGAAGGCCTGGCCCGCACATTACAAAACCTTCCCACCTCTCCACTCCCAACCACTTGCCCATAAGTAACTGGACTGTTTGTATGTGAAACGGAACGGTTTAAGCTTCCTGTTTTTACATTTATGGGACAAAAAGTGCAGTGTTTGGTTTGTATGTTTAGCACATGATTTTCATAAAGAATCTATATATTTTTGCCCTACAGAGAATTGTTATACAGGTCAAATGTGGTCTCCTGATGTTCCTATGCAGTCACGGTATATTGCAGTTAGTAGTTTAACAGCAAGAAGCAAACTTTCAAAGATCATGTAGGTAATTGGATTTGTGGATAAATCATTATTACTTTGAAAAGTAGATTTACACCAATATGGCTGATTTAAATAGGCCTGTATACTTAGGCTCTTCATATCAATAGAAACGAAAACAATTCAGAAGATCAATTTTAAAACAATTGCGTACCTGATGAGACACCAAAAAAAGGTGATGCATCAAAATGATTGCTATTATTTGAAGCCCACATTTTACACAGGCAGGTCACTGTAATCTAAGGTTTCTCTGGGTAGGTAGGCCACACAAATGTCCACTAGGGAATATGTGTAAATATCGTCCTAATGTAGAAAGTCTTAAGAAACAGCGAGTGACCCCTAGAGCAGTCACATATTTCTACGCAAGATTTCTCCCCAGGAATGTGCATAAAGTTTATGCTGTGGAACCCATCACCTGAAAGAAAAATTAGGAAAAATGTGACAACCGAGAGGGCTGTCATGAAGTCAGTTCAGTTGTGTGCTCTACAGAAAGGATGAGCTAGGCAGTGCCCGTGGGGAGGTCACTCTGTTGCTCTGTGTCTATGATTCTGTTTCTTTACAAGCGGTGCTATCTTCTCCCTCAGTGCGGCTGTCTCGGGTTTGTCCTGAAGTCCCACGCCGTTAGTCCCACCCCTGGTGTTACTGCTAACCCATGCCTCATGAACTCTGGCCCATGTTACTATACCAGGTGCAATGTCTGGAGTTAATTTCAGAGCAGAAGGTGACAGCCCAGTGGATGTGACTTCATCACTGAACGTGACTGAGTATGTAACTGGATCTGACCTGAAAGATGATGCCGTGTGATGCGTTCCAGTGAGGGAGATGAAGTTGAGCTTTGAAACTGCTGTCTGTGTTCTCATTGGCAGAATTCAACTCTTTTTCCCCAAGCAGTGTTTAATGAGCCCTGAATCACCACATCCTATCCCAGGAATACAGTGACATTTCCAAGCAAGAGCTCAGGTGCCAACGCCAAAAGAGCATGGGGAGTCCGCACAGTTCTGGTTAGATCGATAGAAAACCCATGGACACAACTGTTCATTCCTCATCTTTCACTAGCACTAAATTTGTCACTTTAAATTTTGAAACCAGGGAAACGCCACCTGTCATTCTGTCCTCATTCCCCACGGCTCTTCAATATTTACATGCCCTAAGACTTTTTTGATAGCTCATATTCATTCCAGTGTCTACTGAAACCCCATCATGTAATGTACCGGGCACCTTCTTTTAAAAAAAAAAAAATGTTTACTCTGTGGGTTTGATTCATTTCAATTTCTGTGTTCTGACACATATTTTTTTAATAAAGATGAGAAAGAGAAAATGACTGTTGCAGTACATTTCTAGACTACTTTAACTTTACCTCAGATGACAGTTTGTTAACATATATGGACACATTATTTTTAACTTTATGTACAGTGCATTCAACAGAACAGCAAAATTTTTAGAAATTTTCCATTAATTTCTGTAACACACCATGTAAAACTGTTACAAATAAACATGTTTGAGAACAACAGTTTAGCCTGGTTTTGTTCCACAACTTTCCACAAGATAATCGGTGATGGGTTTGAAGAAGAGATCACTTCTGTCTGAGTTTCCATCTGAGCAGAGGAAGGCCTCTATCGCCCATGCTCTGAGCTGGAAACCGCAAGCTCTGCTGAGTGGTTAGAGTACTTCCCCCTCCACCTTCCTCTGAATCCAGGCACTTGCTAGCTGGAAGATGTTGTTAGGACCAGCAAGCCTTGTGTAGGTGTGAGAATGGCCACGTGGAGCATGGAACTTTCAGAGATGAGGAAGACCCTTATGGATAGGTGTCTTCTTAAAAAACATCTGCTGAACTCGTTTGGGAAATCAAGGTTGATCTAGATGAATGGTGGCAAACCTATGGCACGCATGCTGCAGCGGGCCCATGAGCCACGTTACCCCAGCTGCCAACCATCGAATACTCAGATTTAATTGCAGTTAGCGCTTTAAAATAAGTAAGTGGGTTTTGGGTTGCAGTTTGAGCGCTTGGTTTCTAAAAGGTTCACTATCACTGTTCTAAACAGTCTTTGGAGTTCTTGCCTTTCATTTCAAGGTCATCTGCTTTGAGGGGCGTAAGGAAGGGAGAATGTGTGATCCTTCACATTTCCTACATGTTCACATTTGTTTTAAAGTCTGAAGCTGGATTTTGACTTCTCTGTGTATTGAACAAAAAAATGTACGTGTGTATATATATGTGTGTTTGATTTTTATTTCCTTTTATAAATAAATCTGTTCATTCAGTAATCCACCAGTTTATAGGGAGCAGTTTGCATAGGTCATTGAGATGTCTAAAAAACCCACATCTTTCTGGAAATGGTTGCATCAGCAACTGCATAAATACAAACCTTTAACCTGGCCTTGTGTGTGCCTGAGAGCTCTAGATGCTTCGTGTCCAGTGCCTCGGTTAATTTTCTAAAGAATCTGAAAGGAAAAAAATACTATTAACAGTATATAAACAAACTGAGGTTTACTTTTCCACCTAGCAACTGGAAGAGCTAAGATTCTAATTTTGCGTCTCTTAAAGTTGATTCCGATTTTAAAAACTGTTAGATAGTCATTGTTTTACATAGGCCTACATAAGTTGGTGAAAAACTCTGACTTCCTATGTCAATTTTCTAAACCTCTACTTGATCTTTGATCATAATTTAGATTCAAATTCCTCTAGGTTAAAGTAAAAGCAAAAATCCATTAGCTTCTACTATGTTAAGTTGCTAAATACAGTTGCTTCTTTAATTGACACCTTAGGAAAGGCTGTACGTGTATACGCATGTGCACGTGTGCAAACACACACACACACACACACACACACACACACACACACACACTTGCAAGAGAGTAAATCCGCCTAGCTTGTTCCAAGTTTATCTGAAACTAGTGCAGCGGTTTGCTTTGCTAGCCTGAAGGAATCTTGAAGTGACAAGTTAAAAGGTGTCCTGTTTAAGTGCTAGGTGTGTGCCAAAGGAAGTCAGCTGCCTTCATTCTGTGCTTGAGAGCAAACCCATGTTGTTTTGACAATCTGTGTTTTTTGTTTTACTCAGAATGACAGTAGGGAAAATGCCTGGAATAAAAACAGATTTCATTGAAATCAACCTTCAGAGCTTGAAACCTTTTAAAAGATGTTGAAATCAAGGGAAATGGGAGTGATTTTTGCCTGAAAGATTAAGGAGAGAGAGAGAGAATTAACAGTGTAAAGCTTGCAAGCCAGTTAGTGACCAGTTCTGTTAAAATACAAATAATAGTCACTACTGTGTGGCCCTGTTTGATTCAAACCTCTCATTTTCTAGCTGCCATTTGCAAATTTTTATGCAAACCCCAAGAGGAAAGAGACGTGCGCTCCATTTTCCAGGCAACAGAACAGCTATGGATTAACAGAGCCAAGACCTCCCCCAGAGGCTGTCCTGTCTCCAGGGTCTGAATGTCGAGCCTTTGTCAACTCCATGATACTCCTTTCTGACAAAAGCAAGTTGTTCATGCACCTTCCGTGAAATACTTTGAGCCCTTCTGTATTCAATTTCGAGTTGTGTTTATTATATCAGAAAAATCATAACGCGTTATCCCTGACTGATGCAGTACTAAAATTGATTCCGAAGTAAAATGACTGTAGTTACTTTAAAACAAAGAGAAAATCCAGTTTAATTCTCAAGAACAGTAATAGCTCTAACCCAATCTAATGAATAATTAATTTCAAAACAAAATCCTAACATTCACTTTATCTTCCAAGGTACAGAGAGATCTGAAGAAGGAGCCTTTTTGAACAGGCTTTCTGTTCATTTTTTGCTGAGGAATATTAATGACTGCCAAGTGGAAAGTGTCTAAATATTCTTGCAAGACGGCGACCTCTGGTGACTTGGGTCTTTAATCTTCTGAACAACCTCATGCCAGTTCTGTCACTCACTTGGGGTCACAGCCTGGAGTGGGGACTAAGGGGGAATGGCTGGAGACTGAACAAGCGGCTCTTAGAGCTGGCTGGCACATTGTCAGGAGGAAAATGCCAAGCTGTCTGTCTTCCTAGCATACTTCCAGCAGCTCCCGCGTGCCTCACCTTTAGTGGTGGGAGGGGAACCATGAGGTCTCCGTCAGTTCACATTACAGGTCAAAGCCACTCGCCCATAGCTCAGGGCCTCAGCTCAGGGATCTCAGAACTTGGTTACTAATGGAAAGTTGTTTCTGCTTACCTGTCCTGTGCCATTTCTAGTCTGCACAGAAGGAGCAGGGAAGGTGGCCACCTACATTCATCCTGTTAGGGTACAAGAATATAGACAAACTAACAATGAGAAACCTCACTTGGTAAGGCCACTTTCATCATAAGAAAGAGCCAAGGAGATAGCAAATATTGCTAGTTTTCTTTCTTCCTACTGGCTCTTAACTGAGGCAGCACCTGAGAAGTAAACTATCTGACTAAATCTCAACCCTCTGCTTGTCACTCAGCTCTTTCTTAAGTGGAATATATTGTTTCTACTAGAAAGCCGATGTGAAGTGATTTTCAGATGGTGACCTCTGCAGAGACTGGGTTTAGACTCTGGCTTTATGACTTACCAGCTGTCTAATCCCAAGAAGCCACATAAACTTTCTAAGATTCAGTTCACTCTCACATCAAACTGAGAGCTGTGATGTGAGATACATTTGATAATTCCACATCCAGAACATAGTGCATATTCAGTGTGCATTGCCTATGGTGAACATCCAAGAACATCTGACAGCTATTATTTTTGTAATTTCTTTTACTTTATGCTTTACCTTTTCACATATGTTATCCTAGGACAAAAACTGTAAGTGTGCAGAATGTCAGAGAGTGATTATTATCTCTGTTTTACTGTCAAAGGCAAGGAAGTGTGTGCGTTTGTATATATACACATATCTTTGAACTTATTTCACTGGCAAAGTGTAAAGAGAAACTTTGTCATGGACTTAGATAGCAGAGAGTCATTACACACATGCTATGTGCCTGGTCCTATAAGTGAGTACCAAAGATTCAGAAACTGCTTTAAATACGGATGCATGACTGTCCTTCTGGAGAAATAGGTTCACAGATAAGTACCGAGCAGCAGGATTTGCTGATGTACAGGCCTGTGGCAATCCAAAGGGGTGATCTTTCACTAGCAGGGAGCCCGGTGGTTTGCAAGATGAGAGGAAGTGGGTGGAGCTCACTGTGACCAGCAGGTGACAGTGTTGGAGGGAGGGCCTTTAGCAGCCCCACACAGGCCCAGGAACGTGGTGTGTCCAGCGTGGCTAGAGAATGAGGCCAGAGAATGACGCACTATTCAAGACACCGACTAGCCCAGAGAAATTAATTTCTCTATTCATATTTCAAAGCTAGAAAAAGAAAACATCAAAAAAGTTGTACAAATTGTAGCCTGATCTTTCTAATGGATAATCAGAAATTCCCAAATTAAATGTTAGCTAATCAAACACAGCTATAAGTCATGACCAGATAAAGTTGCTCTTGAAATGGAATTAACAGGTCAAGAGAAGCTCTCCTAGTGGATGTCAGGAAGACAACTTACCAATTTATTAATCTCTTCAAGGAAAAAAATTTGGAAACTAGACTTGTAGTCACATATCACATGATAATTACATCTGTCCGAATCCAAGGAGTACTAGAGAGCTTAGCAGTGACACTTGAGGGTCTCCTCGTGGAAATCAGAGGTCAAGAGTACTACCTCTGTCACTTTACATTGCTGTGAAGCCTGAGGTAAGGCAGTAAACAAGTATAGGCAAAGAAATCAGGTGTTTAACTATTGTCAACCTGTGTAACAGAGTCTCTCTAAAGACTAATGATTCCGTTTGGGAGGAAGCCAGGAGCCCTGCAATGTGCAAAACACATGTCATGGAAGCCAGGAGTGCATTCACAGGGCAGGGGTCAAAGGGAACTTTCAAGGGGAAGCTGAACGCTTACATCAGTTGCTCAGACAATAAACCTTGGCCACAAAGATTCATGAAAGGGTGGCCAAGGATTGATTAAAAACCCAAAGTTGAGCAGCAGACTTTGAACAGGCATCCTTGCGGAAGTATTTTCTGCATAAGATTGCAGTGGGCTTTCTGTGAGGTTTGGCTATCGTAGTGTTTGTGACAGTTCTTACTGTCAGTGCCCTGTGCTGCCCCAGATTCACTCCTGGATATATGTATATATGATTTGTTAGGCCTTGACGTTAGTGACTCCAATTTGATTCTGTCAGTTTTCACAGTGTAAAAGGAAAACATCATCAGTGTGTGCACGCAGTATTTTCTAGTGGGAGATACCTTTCAGAAATAGAACTAATAAGAGCAGTGAGACAGTTTATACACAAATCAGTATCTTCATGGTACTATAACACTTTGTAAATACCAGGAAAATAGATTTCATTAATGATAGTAATGATAAAATACCCCGAATAAACTTAATGCAGTACTAAAAAAGACCAAAATGAAACACTAGGAGAAGGCATGGTGGCACACGTGTAATCCCAGCACTCAGGAGGCTGAGGCAGGAGGATTGCTGCCGTCCGAGGCCAATCTGGGCTACAAAGTGAGCTTAAGACCAGCCTGAATTGCATAGTGAAACCCTATCTCAAAAAAACCAAATAAATAAAAATGAAAAACTCTGACAAAACTATGAAAATTTGTCACATGGTATAAAATAAATGAACAAAGACCCAATGTTATGAAAATAATCAGTTTTTCTAATTAATTTATGATCTAATGTAATTCCCACCATGCTCTCAATTTTATAGTTTAATATTTCAGACTCAGTTACATATTTATGAAAGTTTATAACTAGAAAATAATGTCACATTAGTGCCCCAAGTATAACATCGAATATAGACAATATATATTTATAAAAATACAGGTAGATGTAACCTGAAAATGTGTATTTACAAATGCCATGGGGCCAGGTGCAGTGGTGCACACCTGTGATTCCAGCTGTCCAGAAGGTGAAGAGGAGGTCTGAAGCAGAGGGTCAGCCTTGGCCGCTTGAAGCAGTCCTTCTGAAGATAAAATGTTAGAGAAGGGGTTGGGGGAGGTAGCTCAGCGGCAGCACCCTCGTTAGCTAGCGCGAGACCCTGGCTCAGCCACCATGCAGCCACAGTACAGCGTCAAGAAAAGCAAACAATAAAACTCAGCTTTCAAAAGGTCCTGGGAAATTAGGGAAAGACAGCACACATTATAAACAAAGTTTTGTTATCCTGAGTATACAGAAATCTCCTAAATATTTACAGAAAAAATCTTACCGAAAAATGTGAAAGGACGTTAACAAACAATTCCAGAGGAAGAAATACAAAAAACTCAAAAATAATAGCAGGAAATGGAAAACAACTACATATTCCATCAATAGGGACCACACTGAGTAAGTTATTTTTAAACAAATGAAATAAATATACTGAAATGAAACATCAAAGATATTTTTAAATAGTGGGTTTAGTGAGTTCCCACCTCTATTGTTG